GAATTTGTCATTTTGAAGTAAACTTTAAGAGCGATGACATCTCTATTTTTTAAAAATTTGTAATTTATCATATGATGCTAATGATGTTCACCATTCCATTTTTTTAAAATTAAAAAAAATCATGTAGGCAGCATGTGACTTATTTTCGGCAATAATTTAGTCTTTTCAAATGAAAATTATTTTAAAAAAATGAGTTGAATCACTTAAATCAGATATCAAAGTACCTATTGCATTCAAAAACCACATATCAATACCTATTGCATTTCCATTCTCAAAATGCTATTAGGCTGCAAATAATAGGGCAATTTGCATACACTGAATATTGCAAACGCCGCCAAAGGAGTTGGTAATTGGATTACAAAATCACATGTCAACATAGCTATTGTATTTCCGTTCCCAAAATGTAAAAGGCTGCCAATATATCATGGTAATTTGCGTACATTAACTGCAAAAGCCGCGTAACGAGTTGGTAATTGGATTCAATATCAAATAACTATTGCCTCTTAATGTTTGCATTAACCAAGGGCATTTTCTGGTATTTTGAATATTTCACCATTCTCTGCCTTTTGCTTTATATATATAGATGCTATTAGGCTGCAAATAATAGGGCAATTTGCATACACTGAATATTGCAAACGCGGCCAAAGGAGTTGGTAATTGGATTACAAAATCACATGTCAACATAGCTATTGTATTTCCGTTCCCAAAATGTAAAAGGCTGCCAATATATCATGGTAATTTGCGTACATTAACTGCAAAAGCCGCGTAACGAGTTGGTAATTGGATTCAATATCAAATAACTATTGCATTTTCATTCTCAAAATCCAAAAAGCTACCAATAACATGCCAATTTACGTACACTAATTGCAAAAACCGCCTAACCAATTGGTAATTGCATTAAAAAAACCATATATCAAAATTTATTACGCTTTGCCACCTTGGAACCCACCATGGCTTGAGGAATTTTTGCTCTCCTTTCATGCAAGCCACTGGACATGAAATTGGTTTTGTCACACACACAGATGGTATCTAAATGCAATTCGAATTCCATAGGAAAATATATATGTATCTCAAGGAAATATGATTACAGAAAAGTTTAAATTCTCTACTTTCTAGTATAGATCTACCAATTGATATCCACCAGTGAACTCCATTAGATTGCCCACCACCGGAGTTCGAACCAAGAAGCCCAACGCGATCAAAGAAGAGAGAGAAACAGTGGAACAAAGAGCGAAATATACAGAGGAAAGTGTTCCACATTTTCACATTTCAATTTTTGTTTGTTTGTTTTTTAAATTAACCTACACAATCAGTACCTCCACATTCAACCTCGTCTCATCCAATGGCCTGTATCTTTTGACGTATCGATACACCTGGAGTTTGGTAGAATTTTCGCTCCCTAGGAAGGATGATCCACTGTAGTCACTGTAGTCAATCTACGGCTTTAAATATTCTTATGGCCAACAGTTGACATATCAATCTTCAGCCATAAAATATGTCCAAAATTTTAACAAGAAGCACCTTTAAGTTATATTTTAGGACTCTCGCCAGTGGCGTGTCTAGTCTTTTTTCACTAAAAACGGGTATTCTTCTGTCTTTAGCTCATGTGACAAAAAATGTACAAAATTTTTCAGTTTTCCCCAATATCTCATTATATTTCGACTTAGTACAACAAATAACCATATATTGAACACACAAGAAATACTTGAAGCCATTTTGTTTGGGTAGGATGAAAACGAATTTCCTTTTCTTCTTTTGATTGCATACTCGCAATCAATTTTGGACTAACTTGTCTTTAAATAAGTGTCAAGTACTATTTTTTTTCATCTCAATGCTGCTAAGAAAATATATATTTTATGAATTATACACAATATAAACATGCTACAAAATAAACAGGTATTGTATGAACACCATCCAAACAGCTATATTGTGAAACAAATTGTGTGTTATATATATTGTACAAATTTTATTTCTATAATACACATCATCTAATTCAATTTTTATATTCCATTGACCTTCAAATCGAATAAATGATTTGTTCTTTTCTATATTCCATTGACATACAATAGCTAAGTCGCTGTTGTCTGTGCCAGAATATTGCATAGGTTGAAGGTCGGCCATGGTTTCCTAATCATAGATCTGCTGTCCTTGTGGATGAAACTATCGTCATTAAACACTGTTAGAATTAGAATAATGTTATTGATCATGTCCTTGTGGGATACCAGATGGATCCAAGATGACCAACCTAATACTGCTAAAATTAAACACTGTCTGTCAGGGCCGGTCCTGAGTTTTCAAAGGCCCAGGGCGAAAATCTAAAATGTGCCCTACACACATTAATCACTAATATTAGTATACTTCTTGTTTTATCAACTAAGCATTGGGTTTTTTGAGAAAGTATTTATTTGAAAATATTTTTAGACTTTGAGCAATGTCTTCCATATTCCTAAATAATGAAAACAAATGTCCAACTATGGATACCATACCATGATACCAATGAGTCAAAGAATTTCAAGAATGCAAGTCAAGCCAATATCAAAGAATTTCTTTTAAAACTCTCGTTATGGATCCTTTGTTCCAAAATTTCAGATTCATCTCAATATCCTATTCCTAAAAATTATGGAAAAATATTAAATCAATTTATTATAATATAATATAACACTTATTATAATAATAAAAATTTGGGGCCCCCTTGAATAATGGGCCCAGGGCAGTCGCACTGACTGCCCCTGGGCAGGGCCGGGACTGCTGTCTGTTTAGATAGGCATAGTCAACCCGATATTTTAATCACGAATTTTGAGCCCCTCCATTTGGTATTAGTGTACTTATATACATTGAAAGGAATGTTAGGCTATTTCCAGGTGAGGAGGGATATATTTAGCCCGGGCTACATTTAGTCCTCTAAGGCCATCTCCAGTCATGGGCTATTTCCTAAATATAGCCCTAAAATAATACCAAAACCATCTCCAATCATGAGCTAAATAAAATTTTGGCCACATTTGGCCCTTTAGCCCTCCAACTAGGCCCTTTAGCCCTCAAACTAGGCCATATGTAGCCCAGCTTTAGGAATGGGCCAAATTTGTAGTGGGACCCATAATCTGCTTTTCAACTGCAATCTATCCCTAGGACGCTACATCTGCTAGATCTATATAGATTTTTAAAATAATAAAAATAGTCAGCTTTTCAAATTTGTAGTCAGATTTTTAAAATGACCGTTGGACCTACCCACTCCCAATTTTTTAAAAAAAATAATAAATATGGTTAGCTTTTCAAATGTTTTCAAGTGTTGTTTAAAAAAAAATTATAAACAATATATTAAACAGTAGTTTAATTAAATTAAACAATATATAGTTGTGGAATGTATGAGTGTTGTACCATAGTTTTTCTCAAAATAATAAAATATGAAGGACTCTAAAATATAGCCCTGCATGGCTGGAGATGGAAAAATTTAGCCATGCACTACTCTTTAAAAAATTAATATTTTGGGGGGCTAAATTTTTAGCCCTGGACTACATTTAGCTCTATGGCTGGAGATGGCCTAATAACTGATTTTATAAGGAGTAGTGTCATACTACATTTTAAGTGTCTCCAGCAGCAAAGGGCTAAATTTAATATTTTAATAGTTTTTAGTATATTATATAAATTTATTAGTTAATTTAATTAAACTACTATTTAAATTTTATTTAATATACATTTTCGAAGAGGAAAAATATTTTGGGATAGGATTTTTGATATCCACGTGTCGGCATAGGATTTTTGCAACTAATAATAATTGACAGATGTGACGTTAATTTGTAGGAAAACAAATAGCCATCATGTTGCGGCAAAGAGAAAGGGGTTGTATCGTATCATATGCGTACTTGTATTGAAACGAACGTCGTCTGGCTCCTTTTCCGACTCTCATACAGTACCCGTGCATCGATGATATGACGTTAATTTGTTATTAATTATTAGATAGATGGTTTTAAATATTTTATAAATAATTTATGAAAACAAATAGAAAGGATAATAAGTGGAAAATATAGTTTTATAATATTTTAAACGTATAGCCATGTGACTATATTTTTAAAATATATTAATAATTTAAAGAGTATAACCGCGCGACTATACTTTGTAAACATAAATGAATATTTTAAAGGTATAGCCGCGCGGCTATACGATTAAAATATATTTGAGTACAGCCCTGCGGCTATACTCTCTAAACATATACGAATATTTTAAAAGTACAGTCGCGCGCTATACTGCACAAAATGATAATTAAGTAATATCTTTTCAACCAAAAAAATAATTTAATTCATATCTTAGCCTTTTTTAATTACTTTAATTAGTAATTATGTTTAAGTTATTATATCTTCAGTGAATAATTAGTATTGAAATTTTTTACCAATTTCATAAATTAATTAATAAATAGTAATGAATTATTTTAAATTATTTTGTGGACTTTGTTTTTTATTTTTTTAATACAAAATTAGTTTGTTTAGTTTAATATTTGCAATTAAATAGTATCTTAGCCTTATTTAATTATATTAATTATTATTTATGTTTGATATTTAATTATCTTAAATAATTTTGTGTTCCTTAAAATTATTTTAAAATTTTGAATATATTTTAAACATAGTTTCAATTATTAAAAAATTATTTTAGTATTTCAAAAATGAATTTGAGCCTCCAAACCCTAAATCCAACCAAGTCTCCAACCTTCATCGAGGGGATATTGTGGCCAACTTCCTTGCGCCAACTGCAGAATTGATGGCCGACTTTGGTGCGGTAATCAGTCCGCATCAGCAAAATTGGCCTAACATAAAACTCACCATTTTCACCTTATCGTTATTACTTATCCATCTCACAAAGTAATTAAAAAAATGATGGAAACATGTCGTCTTGAAGAGCTCCCATACATGATTGGCAGGAAACATGGATGAATCAAGGAATGAAAAACACTCAATACTTTGGACCAAATTATAACGCTTGCAAGGCCAAATAATTTGCCCATACATATCTTTACAAAAAAAAAATTAGATATGAGAGCATTCATTATTAAATTTTTTTTAATATTACAATCGCAGGGGCCTAAAAGCTGATAAGATCAAAATATCATTTGCAACAGGGCATGGTATAGTTTTGTGCCCAGATTTGGGGCTGAGGTATCGATTGTCCCGTCCCGTGCTTACAGTTCATCTGCAACTGTGTTGGCTACTCAATATACTGTATGTGTTTTTATCTCCACATTCTCCATAGTCAAAATGAGAATGATTTCCATGTGTTAGTTTTCCTTGTGTAACACTCTCAATAACAAGATTTGAATCTCCTTCAATTTGTCAGAACGATATCTTCTCGTTGAAAGTCAGTCATGGCTGAAAAAAATATATTAGGGGGAAAAAAACTCGTGACTTGTCATTCCGACCACGTAAATTCTTCGTCATCAATTTCATCAGACTTCAATGGATTATCAACTTCAGCATCCACAGCTTCTTCTTGAACTTCAGCAACATCAGCTTCCTGATCTTCAGGTTCTTCCAACTCTGTTTTTTTCACTCCCTCCTGAAAGTAATAAGAAGCAGCATCTTTTTTTTTATTAATAAAAAACAACAAAAGAAAAGCTACTACAAGCAATAGAAAGAGATAAAAAACATAAATGATTAGAAGTTGTGTAAACAATAAGAGCACAAATTGCACCAATTATCAGTTAAATGTCTTAACACAAGACTGCAACTGTACGATAAATTAAACCAAGTTTAGATTTTGTGAATCACTAGAGGAACACAAAAGGTTTAGAGCATGTATCCACTTTCTAAAATATTCATAGAGGATGTCCAAGGGCAAAAGAGACATGCCATGCAAATTACATAGTCAATTAGTCATCCAATGGGTTGGTCCTCTGAAGAGATTAAAGCCATAAATAAATAAAAAAATCGGATCATCTAAGATCAACCAACTTGAAGCTTTTGAAGATAATTTATTTTTTCTTTTCATAAAGAGTACAACTCCTAAACCATCAACAATTCCGGTATGCAGATTCTTCTGTGTGATATACTACCTCCTACTGGAGACTAACAAGTACAAGCAATGAAGTTTGTCTATAAAAATGAGTAACTTTCTTCGTGGAGGTCTAAATATAGACACACAGAAACATAATCTTTCCCAAAAAATATAACAACAGAACATATGCATCTCACAGAAGAGATCCAGAGAAAAGATAGAAAATGCATACATCAGTATCATGAGTTGGTTCTGCTTCCTCCTCCTTGTTTGCCTGAGCAACTTGTTGCAGCCTCTCAATATATGAAGTAAATTGGGAATGATCTGCACGAGAAAATTATTATATTGTACAACTGTGTGAAGCTCCATGTGTGGTTTGGGGTGGCAGATAAAACAACAATTGTAATGACTTTAAGCATAGATGAATGAACATTAAATTTATTTTATTTGGTTTTTATTTATTAAAAGTAAATATGGTGCGTCTCCGAATGGCTGGGACGCTAACTCTTGCACTAATGGTTCCTCCCGTAACCCATGGAAGGACATTTCTTCTGGGTATCAGTCCTTTCTTGAATGTTGTAGAGGTGAGGTTGGCAATGGGAATAGAGTGAGATTCTGGGAGGATTCCTGGGTAAACGAAGGAGTGCTAAAGGTTCTTTTTCCTAGACTGTTTGCTCTGTCAACGAAAAAAGCTGTTAAGTATTTCACACTTTGTAGATCTCAATTCAGCCCCGGTTAATTGGGATCTTGGGTTCAGAAGAAATCTCAATGACAGGGAGTTCGATGAAGTCATAAGTTTGCTGGCTATCCTAGAGCCAGTCAGACTGTCTAGCACAAGGTTGGATAGGAGAAGATGGCAGCCTGAAAAGTCTGGCATTTTCTCTTGCAAATCCTTCTCGTCGCATCTTCATTCTGGTTTCCCGGCGGATTTGTTCCCCCCGTTTCCCCACATATGGAAGGTCAGCTCCCCTCCTAAGGTTAAATTTTTTATGTGGTTGGCTTCCATTGGGAAACTCAATACTTGTGGCATGATTCAAAGAAGGCGCCCATTCAAGTGTTTGTCTCCTCATTGGTATGTTCTCTGCAAGGGACACGAGGAAAGTGCAGCTCATCGCTGCCCTTTCTCTCTAAACTTGTGGTGGTCTTTATTCAGGGAGGTGAAAGCAGTATGGGTGATACCGAAAGATTGTTTCATCCCAATCAGCTCAAATTGGATGCCCTCGGTAAGAGTAAGAAGGCCAAAACTTTATGGGACTGTTTAGTGCATGCAATGCTCTGGAATATTTGGCTCGAAAGAAACAGAAGGATTTTCGAAGAGTATATCGGTGTTAGTGAATTAGAAGTCTGGGAGAGAGTCAAATTCTGGGCGGCACTATGGGCTTCCATTACGACCGAATTCACAGACTATTCCTACTCTGATATAGCAAGGGATTTAGTTGCCAAAGTGTTGTAATCTTTTCCTGTCTTCCTTTATATTTACGTGTTAAGTCTCGTTTTTGGTCGGTTGTTATAGCCTAGTTTTGTTTTATGCTGGGGTCTGTAACTTCATAGGTCTTAGTGGTTCTCTTTTTCTGGTTTTTGTAAATCTTTTGTTTCTCTGTTAATACAAATTGTTTCTTTTCCAAAAAAAAAAAATATTAAAATTAAAATCGGGGGAAAAAAAATTTCTACACATAAAGTATATACAATTGTCCTTATGCTTCATCAAATGGAATTCATATAAGAGTAAACAAACACAACGAATAGGGAGGTTTCCGTCTGCACAGGTGTAATGGTCTTGGGTAGGTTCTTAAGGGAAAGATTAAAACAGTAAATAAATAATAAATTAAGGACTGACCTGTGGAACAAGTCGAACGACTTAATACGGCTTCATTGATACGTAATGGATTTTGACGTTCTTCCTTCTTGAATTTCAACTTGATTTGATGACGTGTTCGACCAGGAAAATAGAGTTCTTGAATCATGGTAAAATCTGATCCACACTGCTGAATAGCCTAAATCACATGTGAAGACAAAATTAATTTGACCTCTTATACAATTAGTTGCCACTTGTTAATCAGGAATGAAACAAAGTTTTTAAATCACAATTAGAGTTCTAAGAAAATCAACTAGTGCCGTTGTGCAAACTGAGACTGGTAACTCATCAGCTTTCACCATCAATCACATATATGGTATGTCAAAGTTATTTTCAATTGGTAGCCAGTTAATTGTAGTGAATTTATAGGTACATTACCACATAGAACAGTTCTGTGTCTTGTTTAGACCATCTTACGGTGGGTGCTTTGTCCATGTACGACTGGTAATTGAGTAAAAAGGAACTCGCATTAACCCGGTAACTTGCTTGATTTTCTTCAGAGTTTCCGTCGTGTTCTGAAGGAAAGGTCCCCTCTTCATTCTCTTCATCTTGATAAGCTTCCTTGTGAGAATCATTGTTAGCACTGCAATGAAAGAATAACAAAAATAATAATAAGAAATGTGCATCAATGGACAACATACGACTCCAAGAATGATAGTAAAAACAACCTATTCAAAAACAAGCATGTCAGCCTTTGTGTGTGCAACAACAATAGCAGCAGTTCTTCACAAATAACAGGGTTTGCTCAAATTCTAAGTTCTACATTTCATCAAATGTCATATATAAAACATTTTTCAAACTAAACATTGCTAATGCTTACAAGGCCCCCACCCGCCTGTCCTGAAAAGACAACTCAATTATATTCAAGAAATACGTCTGTCACATGGTTGTAACCTCAAGTGGGTTCAAGCAAAGTTCCCAATCTGTGAAAGCATGCTGACTCAAAAGGCCCAATTCACAATCATTCTATTCCATCCATATTAATACCTTCATAATACTTAACAATACATCCTCTTGTATGGCCATTTTATACAAGCGACACATACAATAACTTCATACGCATCTTAGAACTACTTCATCACTATCTTTCGACAATGCGTATTGAACGTTCAGAGCTCTTGTCACACAAAATAGATCAGATTTGTAAGACGAACAACATGGTAGTTGGGATGTCGTATGAGGAGCGCAATGCATTCGAGATCCCAACACACAAGTGTTGTGACACGAATCACCCTAAAGAAAGCAAGATGCCTACACATCAACCCACAACCATCCAACCTTGGCAATTTTTGTTCTAACGTTATTTGTAAAAATTTCTAGTTACTGTTTTATTCAATTAACAGTAACTGACATACATATAAATTATTAATAATATTCAATTTGCAGTTATTTTAAAATTGCTTCAAATCCAGTGCACAGTCAAAGTATCAATACATATCAGGGGATCTGCAAACTTAGAAACCACCATCAGAACAAACAATGCAGAAAAAATACAACATCAACAGTGCTAGTCCAGCAAAAGCGGGATCCTGGAAGTGGTGATCTAGATAAGATCTTAACCTTCAAGAAATGACTGCTTTCAGTCAATAAAGAAAATTGAGAGATAAAAGGGAAAGAAGAAACAAATGCATCTGACACTTTCAGCAAACTTATGAATGTAAAAAACATAAAAAGTCCAAAATATATTTATATATACGTATGCTTCTATGCATCATGTTTGCCATTCATTTAAACAAGTATTGTACTACCATATAAAGGATCAGAAGAAAGATAAATGCACAAACATAAGAAATTCAAATCAAACATCATCAAGATTACTAGGGACATTATGCTACTACATACACTAGCAAAAAAATTTCCAATTCAAATGTCAATTGTTGCATGAACCATAGTATACAACTTCAACAAGTATGATCAAATATAAAGATATGGCGTCTGTATAAGAATTCAAGTACCTTTCATCGGGGACTGGAGTTGTCATTTTTCTTGCCTCTTTAATCTACACGGCATAGGGACAAATCAAAAAGGCAATGTCAATGTTGGAAAAAAAAAATTATAGATAGAGCTATAAAAAGGTTATTAAGTGAAACAGCATCGTAGTTCCTCATGTGAAAATTTAACCAGAAAAATAGAAATACCGCTAACAGCTCCCTATGCTCTGCTAGACGAATGAGATTCTTTAGAGACAACCTTTGATGGTCAATTTCATCCTCTGGGATTTCAAGCAAAGACTTGTCCACTGCAAAGGGTAAGAAAATTAAAATGATGGACATACAAATTTCGTGTCCCATAATGTTATATACCCAGAAATTCATTTACCATGTCTTTTGGTTCTACGAGTTGAATGGGAAAACCTTTTGGGAGGGTCTTTCGTTGATTTATCAGGTGCTTCCTTGGCTCTTTTACGCTTTTGTACTGGTTCTTCTTTTCCAGATTCAGGCTCCTTGGACTTTCTTGGGGCTCTTTTCCTCTGTAATGTCTTATGCTCCCTATATTCATTATCATTATTCTCGTCTTCATTAACGTTAGATCCACTAGAAGGTTCAGCAGTGAAGCTGTCTTCATTAGCCTCATGCACTAGCTCTTCAACGTCTTGACGAGGTAACCGCTTCCTCAACTTCCTGGATGATGTCCCACCTTCAGCCTCCTCACTGGCTGCAAAAGATTTGCGCTTCTGAGAACTATTTGATGCAGTAGAACCTTTTCTATTTCTACTCTTATGACCCTGCACAATCCAATAAACAAATACAAACACGTGTTCCAACACAATTAAACACTGAATTATATTTTAAGTCCCATGACATGCATGGAAATTTAAAGTTAAAAAAAGTTACCTCTTTTCCAGGTGTTCCCCCAACATCTTCTGAAAGCACAGCATCCCCAATAATGGCACCATCCGAGTGGGTAGTTTCTGCAATGTATTCTGTATTCACTTGAGGATCAGAGGTTGGATGTGGGGTACTAGAATCACCAAACCTTGGAGAGGGGTGATCAAGAACATGTCCAGGTGGGAAGGCAGGAAGTGAGCTCTCATTCAAGTCAGTTTCAGAAGGCACCAACACAGCTTGTGAAAGCATACACTCAACTTCAGCAGGAGGGATGTGCAGATGCTCCTTTCCTTTTTTCACTTTGAGCTTGGGTTGAAATTTTCCAACACGTTGTCCTAAATCAACCCAGACTCATTGAAATACGCAACAAACAATACAGTAGCAAAGGAAAAAGTCAAGTGATGGTATGCATACCAGACGAAATGGTAGCATCAGACACAACATCTAGAACTTCAAATTCTGAGAAAACCCCATCTACCTGACATTGACAATAAACTGCCCAATTAATCAAAACTAATAATTGAACAAGAATCACTTCTGTGACAGTACAAATCTTCACCTTTGTTTCTAAATGCACTTCATCCGGTTTGTTAGAAACAGAAACTTCTCTGCAGGACACAGGATCTTGGGTTGTACAACAATCAGAAAAAGTTTGAGCTTCTGCAACATCACAAACCATGAACGCTGAAGGCTCAGCAGAAACATGGGACTTACTGGCAGCACTCTCTGCTGAAAGAATAAGTGTCAACAGACAGTACTAGTCAATGTTTCTACTGTTTTTAAAAAAATTTGTATTTTGCATTCGTCACCTGTACCCCCGGTAGTTTGACTTAGAAAACCATCAAGACATTCCAACCCAGAGAATATGTCTGCATTCTGGAAAAATCAGAAGTTATCAACATGAAATGGAAAACTAAGAAACCAGGAAATAGGTATTTGTTTCTTACCTCCCCTGCTGCTGTTCCAACAGAAGCTGCAACCTCCGGTTGAGGAGCAGCTGTTGCAGCTGACTCGCAAGGTTTCGTGTCCTTGTTGCCATCAGACAATGCAACATTTGTACATAAATTCTCATTGTTTTTTGCTGGCTCTATGTTCCCAAGAATCTCTGATGTGGCTAAGGACGAACCTACAGGATCTGTTACTTTAACATCTCCAACATCAATGGATTTAACAGATGGAACAGTATCTGAGACAGTGGGAGATAATGTGGCAGGTTTTTCCGTTCTGTCATTACGGAGAGCAGAAGTAGCTGCTGTAGATGCTACCTTGCTTGGCCGGGGCTTTGCCTTGGGTCGAAATCGGCCGCCAGGACGAGCTGCAAACGAAAATAGAAATCAGTTACCCATCTCTTGAGCCAAATGAAAATAGAAAATATGAAAAGTTCTTCAAGTTCTAGGTGCAGACTTACCAGGGGCATTAGAAGGGTCAAGGAAAATATCATCCAAATCCTCCATGTTGAGTTTAACTTCAACAACCGTTTCTACATATATTAGGCAGAAGCCCTGTCTTCAAATAAGGCAAACAGGAAAACAAACAAAAATCACATTGAGTTCCAAGAAGGATACAAAGCACTCTGTTTGCAGTCCGAAGTCACATTAAAATTGCCCTACTAAGTGAATTATATTCAGAATTCGTTTTCTTTTCGGGGTTTCCGAATTTGACTGAAACTCTCTAAAACAAAGTTCAAATGATTCTCCTAGACAAGATTATTAGCACCTTCAACTGAGCAAATACAACCTGAGTATTTAACAATGAACCCATATATAAATCTTCCATCCAATAATATATTTGCAATCACGTACTTTGAAGAGAAAGTGATAAGTTGAAAAAGAGTTACCTATGCTAACTGTTCTGCATCACCATTACTAGGGTTTCAGAGAGAAACAAGGAGAGAGGTGGGAGGACGAGCCAACCGCTAAACGTATTCTTAGTTTTTAAATGTAAAATAATTGCAAAATGCGCGTGATAGACGGGATGGTGGTGGTCGTGCGTTTCTTAGGATAAGGAGGAGCTCGCTCGGGTTCGAGTCTCGCATTTGGCACAATTTGTCATATTTGGGTAGGCCCTTAACGTAGTAATTAAGAAAAGATGGCATGGGCATTTTAGTAGTTTCATCATTAACTTTTAATTCAAAGTAAAAAAAAATCTTTAAAAAAATTAAAACCCACTCATCCTATTCTTTTTTTTTTAACAGAGAAAATAATATCTTAAAAAAATATTGAATCCACAACAAATTAGCAAAAAGAAAACAAATTCCGAAATTAGAAAAGAAAAAATGAGAGCAAGCCAATGTAGAGGGAGAGAGGGAGGAGCAGAGAAATTCCAAGCGTACCTATGAAGCTGTATAGCGTCGTGTTCTTCAGTGCCTCTTGAAGCAGTGTTTGCAAAACCGGATCCGAATCCGACCCGACGAGTTCAACCGCTTCGGCGTTGGCACATCAACGTCGTCGACCCCTTCGCTTCTCTTTCCACTGGAGCTTGCTCTCTACGGTTACTGTAGAGAGAGAGAGAGAGAGAGAAAAGTAAGAGAAATTTGAGCACCGTCGAAGGCTGAAGAAGCGCTCCTTTCTTTTCAGTGTGGGTTTTGTGGGTTGGGGAGGGGAATTCCGTCGGGTTTAGGGTTTTTCCGGGGAATGGGGTTGGGTTGGGGATTGATAGGTTGGAGCGGTGGCATTGAGGGCGTGCGTGGCGTGGGGTGGGTTTTAAATTTTAGTTTTCTTAATCAGTTTTAGGGTTTAGGGTTTTCTTAATCAGTTTTAGTTTTTCTTGACCCCAAAAAAAAAAAAATCAGTTTTTTAATAATTTAAATTGAATTTGTAAGGGCTAAAAGTAGAAAAGTATATTTGCTATTTTAGCAAGTTAATGGTTTTTATGATTTATAAATTAAAAAAAATTATTATAAATTTTAGAGCAACGGCGGGAAAGTGAGATTTATCAAAATTTGTCAACATAACCAGATTATTTCAATCAGCTCTAAAGATTTTTTATTTTTTATAATTTAAAGGTCAGCAAGGCAGTTCCATTTCCTGCAGCATATGCACTTCCTTTTCCTCAATTCAGGGTTTCACAAGAGTTGTGTTTTATCGTGAGTGTGTCATATATAGATTACAGATGTGGACCTTCACATTAGTCACACGATGCATCTGAAATAGTATCTTCACTTAAGTTTAATAAACTGATCTCGTGACTAATATGAAGATTCAAATGAGGGGTCTATATCATTATAGAATTCCGCAGTTCTACCAAGGGTGAATGTTGGGTTGGTTGGGCCTATCATGGTTTTGTTTCTAAAATTTGGGAGCTAAAAATGGGACAACAATGAAGGGCTGGAGATTGGGCTAGAGCTAGGGCCTGGGCTGGGCATCTATATCTATGCCAATAAAATTTTAAACTTTGAAAATGACAATATTAAAATCAGGGTTAATAAATCAACAACTTAATTATTTAGCAGAACCCTCATAAAACCTAGCATATCTTTTCTATAGGTACATTTGCTGGGTTATTTATTATGCCACATGTTTATGTATCCGATTGAACGTTTGTTTTCATCAAAGGTTGTTGTCATGTGGCAGGTAGGGCCTCATTGATTTTGTAAGTACATACTCAAACCTTAACAAACACACCAATCAGCTATTAGGGCCTCATTGATTTAGTCTAGTGGTATTTATTTTCCCAACGTTGAAAAAAGTTCTAAGTTTGAATTCTCTTTCTTCGTTAATAAAACAAGAACCCAATGGCTGAGCCAGGAATTTATGTGTTGGGGGGCCAACATAAAAACCAAACAAGACATTAAAAAATTTCAATTTTTAGACCTTAACAATGTTTGGAAAAATAAAAGGTAAAAAATAATTGTTTATTTAATTAGGTATCAAAATAACACTTGTCGTTCTTTCATATCTTGAAAACCATCTATGATTGAGTCAATGCTAAACTTTTCTGCAATTTCCTTTTCGATGTACATAATCAAAGAATATGTGAGAAATTCGTCTTCCATCTTATTACGAAGCCTAGGATGTATTTTTTATAAATAAAAAAAATCCATCAATTCTAGGTTGTTTCTTCATCTACAAACCAATTACAAATTTTATTCAGGATATGATTCATAAATTATACCACCAAAAAAAAAAAAATTCATATTCTAGCATAGAACATATAAGATACGAAACATATAACTATAACAATGAAAACTTCAATTTTCACTCATATAAACATATACAAATATATTCTCATAAAAAGTAAATAAATAAAGGAAAAAAACTATGACTATGTAAAGTTATCTAACCTGAAATTAAAAATTTTGAAGGAGGTTGGAGAGCAAACAACCAAATTCAATTATTTTCTTTTGATTTATGCGGCTGCTTCAAACTAAGTTCATGTGCTTCATATATGAACAAAAATTAAAATCCCAATCATTTTTATTTGGGTAAAAGTCTACTTCATATTTGATAAAGGAGATTTTTTGAAATTTTATTTGATTGGCTGCTTTTATTTTTTATTAATATGTTGATGGCCCCAAAATCACTTAGTCTTTCTATTTTGTAAAGAAATCACAGTCTTTTAATTGTAAAGAGAAACACATCTTTTCTTTATTGGGAGGGGGCCACAAGACCAAACATCAAATGGTGTCAAACTTTTGAGGGGGCCTAGGCCCTTCAAGCCTTCAAATACCTCCACCACTGAACCCACCCAACAAACTTTTTAGGGCCCGTTTGGTATCCTACTTAGATCCAATTTTATAAACTTAAAAACAAATTTGAAATCCAAAACTTAAAAAATCCGTTTGGTATGCTCATTTTTAAAAACTCAAACCTAAAACAAACTCAAAAACACCCCCATTATTGAAAATAAAAAAGTGAGGTTTTATAGTTCTCTCTCTCTCATCAGTTGGTGGTTTTGGGTCGACGTTGTCGCTCACAACTCCATGAAGGTCTTCAGGCCTTCAAATACCTCCACCACTAGAACCCACCCAACAAACTTTTTATGACCCGTTTGGTATCCTACTTGGATCCAATTTTATAAATTCAAAAACAAATTTGAAGTCCAAAACTTAAAAAACCCGTTTAGTATGCCCATTTTTAAAAACTCAAACCTAAAACAAACTCAAAAACACTCCGATTATTGAAAACAAAAGGAAGTGAGGTTTTATAGTTCTCTCTCTCTCATCGGTTGGTGGTTCTGGGTCGACATTGTCATTCGCAACTTCATGAAGGCCATTGTTTGTAGCTCTGTGAAGGCCATCAAGGTCTCCTTCGTCCACTACCCAACCCACAATTGATCAATTTTTTTTTCATGTTTTGCGTTTCTAGGGTTTCTATTGAAAGCTCACAGTTTGGAGTTCAATACCAAACAATTTTTAGATCTTAAATCACTATTTGAAAATTCATTTTTAAAAATAAAAAAAATTATAATTTTTAAATTTATTTTTTTGAGTAGGATACCAAATAGGGTCTTAGTTTGCAAAGCAAGTCGGCTGTAATTCTGTCTTGATAGTCATGTTTAACAGACACCATTATGCATTGCAGGTACAACAGAGACTCCATTTATTCGCTACCATTTTCAGACACCAACACCCGCAAATGCATGCAATTTAAGAAGGCCTTCAAAGAAAGAAGAAGAAAAAAGCCATGCACAAAGAGCTTCTATGCAAATCACAACACACAGATCTTTATGACCTTCAACAACTTTGCTGGGTTTGGTGGCCAATGACAAACCTTGAGCAATAAAAATATCTTCACAGAACTGAGGCTAAAAATGGAAATTCACTTATGTTCTGCTCTGCCCAAGAAACCCTGAGAAGGAAAATGAAAATTCCCAAGGACATTGTCCAGACAGTGGAGTTCATTTCAATCATGTGCTCACTGAATGACTTAATTTGGTATGACCCGCAAATCATGGACAGCACAGAGTGGCTTTGTTGTGGGTGCAAATAAAATTAAATTACAGTACAAACAAATAAACCACTTCGCTTTCAATCCCTTTCAGATTTTGTGCCAACAGCCCACCAAACCCTACCCTTTTCTTTTTCTTTTTTGGGTTAACTATTGATTTACTCCCTGAACTTGTATGCTACTTTTAATTTGCACCACAACCTTTTTTTTTGTTGAAAAATTAAGTATACAAATTAATTTTTATTACCAATTTTGAAGTTAAGCGAGTTGGCACTAGAGCAATCCCATAATGGGTGGTCCATTGGAAAGTTGCTCGTGAGTTCCCAGAAACAAAACCATAAGGGCAGAGAGGGGGGCCCAAAGCGGACAATATCGTCCTACGAAGGAGCTGATCTCGGGATGTGACATATATTCTAAACGATGAGGGTTTAGGTCAGGGATTAAAATAACATCTCCGCCCCTCCCAGAACACCATACCCAAAAAATTTCCCTTACCCGTCCCATAGCCGTTTTTTTATCCTTCATACCTTAGTCATTAGGGTCAAATCCTCCCGAAGACCCTTATCTGTGGAGAAAATTGCGATCAGAAAATCCAGCCATTTGCACTTTGCAATGTGTTTGCTGTATTCATTGAAATGCTTCATTTTGGATCTAGGTAGTGGAATTCGGCTCAACTGAACTTGGGTTTCATATTTTTGGAAGAATCAAAGAGGTTCTCAGTGTTAGATTCACAAATTTTGGTTTGCACAATAAAGAAACAGAGGGATTATAAGCAATTGGGCTATTTCGAATTCATTTTTCATGCTTCTTGTTTGATAAAGTGAAAACCCTTCATCTCAAATAAACTCAATTGTAAGCAAGTTTCCTCATTTCGACTGATTTTCGTATAGCCGAGGGCGTTTGGGGTGGGGTTGGAGGGTGGCTTGCGGTGGGTGGTGGTCGTGGGAAATGGGAGGAGAAGAAAATACAGTAAAGCCCCATTTGGTTCATGGGAAAGGAGGCTTGGGAATGGGAATTCAATTGCTTTCCCATGTTAGGTAAGTCCAGTCATGGGAAATGGTTGCTTGGCACATAGGGAAATAGGGGGGAAAGTGAAGCCCTCCTCTTAACTTGGGTTTTGTTTTCCCTCCTCATGGGAAAGTTTGGGAAAATGAGCCAACATTCAATGCACAATTTCATGACTATTTTGTTCCTATGAACAATTTATAATTACAACGTATCATTAAATGCATGCTTTTTTTATTTGATTTAATATGGGTATAATTGAAAAATTATACAAACTTTGTTTTCCATTCCTACTCAAAACAAACATGAGAAAGGAAACAAAGTGAAATCTCATGATTACTTTCCCAATATTACCAAACGTGGGAAAGGAATCTTTCATTCTCATTCCTTGGAAAATGACATGGGAAGAGATCCCCTCAAATCCATTCCGTGAACCAAACGAGGCCTAAGGGGGTTTTGGGTCTGTGCTTTGTGGAATTTTTTTTTTTTGGGTTATCTTTTTCTTCAAATTTTTCCAAAAAAATATGTTGAGATTTAAACAGTGAGGGGGGAATTGGCAATAAAAATTAATTAGTGTACTTAATTTTCCAAAAAAAAGAATTTGATAGTGCAAATTAAAAGTAGCATACAAGTTCAAGGAATAAATTGAAAATTAACCCAACCCTATTTTTTCTTGACAATGAAGGCACTGAGGCCACTAAGTCAAGTTGCAGTTGAGAAGTCTTTGAGAGGCTATCAAAAGCACATAAATACATTGCACCAAACGGGGAAACACATATTTAATTTTTGTTTTGACCATCATGGGATTTTTGTGAGACTAATGTTTCACAAAATGATG